ATTTTCAATTCTTGATCTCAGAGTCAGTACTCAGTTACTGAAAACATGGGAATTCAGTACACATTAAGCCTTCATGCTCATAAAAGTAATGACAACAATATTCTCAAACACATGTAAGGTTTATTCCATGTCAGGCACTGTCCTGTCATTTTCCAAATATTAATTCATTTCAACTCTCTCAATAACCCTTTGAAGTCAAGCCTCTTATTTTCTTCATTTACAGGTGGGAAAACTGCATGGAGAGGTTAGTGACTTTTCCAAAGTCACAGGGTTGATAAATGGTGGAGCTGGGATTCAATCTCAGGTTGTTTGCATCTAGAGCATATACTCTCAACTTACTGCAGTAATCAGTTTGGAGAATTAGAGTACCTTTCACTATATTCCTATTTTGGAAGGAAAACCATGATACATTGTTGAGCTTAAAAAAAAAAAAGGGAAATGGGGGGCCAGCAGATGGCATAGTGGTTAAGGTGCTGGATCCCACCTGGTCAACTGCAAGGCTTAAGGCCCAGACCCAGTGGCTTGAAGAACATGCCAGGGACATGTGCATGTCCACCCAAAATCCTGAGAAGAGAATGGAGAAGAAGGAACTGTGGCATTGCCGTTCTTCCTGGGAGGGGGGATGCTTTCTCACTTTCCTTCTCTTTCTCTCTGTGTGTGACTCTCTCTGGTGAGTGCACATGCCATATAGCAAGCTTTTTAAAAAGGAAAATAACACTGAAAACAGCATAGTTTCATCCTTTTAAAATAAATATTATATGTGTTAGCACGTGTGTGACAGAGGGAAGAGGAAAAGAGAGGAAAGAGAGAGATACTAATGATTCTAGATTTGAACGTGAATAGGACAAGGAAATCTGGAAGAAATCACAAATACAATACTTTGGGGCAGTGGGAGTTGTGTAGGTTATATCACCTTTTACTTTACATACCTATATATTGTTTTAATTTTTACAGCATGCGTTCAAACACACTCACGCGGGACTGGTAGACGGTAAATATCTAAGACTGCAGAAAAACTGATTAAGCTTTTCCTGTACTTGCCGACACAGCATTTGGCTTTGATTTCCTCAATCCTGAGAGAAAAGACCAGAATCTTCCCTGCTCTGAAGCCAAGTGCAGTGACTTTCAACAGTAGCTACGCAACGTGTTTATGATGTGTGATATTGGGAAGTATACTGTTTGCATCACACACCTTTATGCTCTCAGACTCTGAGATCATTATAAACTCTGTCAAGTTTTCAGTATTTCAGAAAATTTGACTAACTCTGGGATTGACTTTTTATTTTTTTATTTACTTTTTTTTTTTGCTCAAGCAAATAAATGTTTTAGGCTCTTCAGGTCGTAAGAGTTCTGTTGCAACTATTTTTGCTGCCATAGTGTGAGAGCAGCCAGGAAAATATACACACAAAAGTGGGTATGTTGTGTTCCAATACAATTTCATTTGCAAGACTAGGCAGAGGGCTGCATTTGGCCCCAGAGCTGTAGTTTTTGGACTTCTGCTGTTGCTGTTGCTGCTCAGAACAGTGCCATTGCACTGAGAAACAGCTCATTGGTTTTGTTTTCAGGACAGTTTTCTCCTGAAGGTCTGAGGGCTTTGCACATTTGTGAAGGTCTGTGTGATGTCCATTTGGATTTGTTAGTGTTGATCAAATTCTTTTGACAATCATAACTGCCAGGTTATTCTTCATTCTTGCCCTGTGAGAGATGAGGATTGCTTTATTTCGCAATCCCAAGGAGTCATCTTGTGGGTCAGCGTACCTTGTTTCTTGTTTGCATGGTCTACAAATGTCCAGTTTTTATTTTGTTTGCTTAAATTGGTCCCTAAGGTAGACAAGAGAGAGAGAAGGAACATTGGCTCATTGCTGATAGCCACTTGCACTGAAGGAATGCCCAAGCCTTCACCTTCCCTTTTGAATGTCAGGAACAGTGTCCTTAGGTCAATTCAAGAAAACTGTAGGCTACACATCACCAACCTGAACTACTCTGTGATTCTCTTTTATGCCTCAGGCATGGTGACACTGCACCTGTCTCAAGCCTGTCATGTGGTGCTTTTATGCCTTTTTTTTTTTTTAATCTGCCATGGAAAAGAACCATCCCTTCAAGTATGACAGCTCTTTTAGACCCCATTTCCCAAAGGTGCTTCTACTCTTACTTGGTTATAGCTCCTATTGACTATACTAATTTAGTCCTTAGGAAATGAGTCAGTTATTCCTTCATTAATAACTCCGCTCTGGGCTACCTCAATAGCCCATTTCCATAGCGGCCAATCTTGATCTAAACAAATTCAATGGTCTCTTACTCTTTCTCCACTCCAGTGAAAGTGCTCTGAGCTCCAAGAGTGCCTACCTTCCTCAAGGGAAAAGACAACCAACCTTTATTTCCTAAATAGTTCAAGTTCTGGGCCTTCATTTTCCTGTTTCCAGTTCCTCTCAAGGGAGCCGTGGGGTCTTTATATGATCAGACCCATTGGCTGTCCAATTACTGCTCAATAAGCAGGTGATGGGCAAAATCTCCTAAGTACAGGTGGGGGATACTCCCCCACTCCCTCCGATTTGTAGTTATCTCTTCCAATCCCTTATAACTGATCTAAAATCTCTTTGGGAAGGGGCAAGGACATATCATCCCCACTCATAGTCATAACCACAAGTTTATTTGGAAAACTGTGTACATTGAATATAGTTAGAGCAAACTGTGTTCATGACTTTAAATGCCAATACATTACTGCTTATCTTTAAGTTCCACCCTGTGGATAGAGGGCAGTGATAGGAAATAAAGAGTACTATTTTTCCTTCCTGTATGAGCTTAGATATAGAAGTATCTACTCTAATAACTTTTCAATCAAAACATTTCATTTGCATAGCAAACTTTGTCTTTCATGGACAACTTTGTTTTAAAAAAAAAATCTGAGTTCCTAGAATGAGCCATCTCAAATTAAGGCCATCTTAGTGTGGGAAATTAGAATGAGCCATACCAAATTAAGGCCATTTTAGTGTGGGAAATTAGAATGAGCCATCTCATTTCCATAGCTGGCTGCCAAGATGAAAAAATATTGTGACAAAAACATTCTGTTCTGGTCTATCATGTCACAGTGTCTAGTGACTGCAAATCTTGAAATCATGAAATTACTCAGAGCCTGTAATTTAAACTTTATTTCATATCTATTGTTAAATTACACAAAATCAGCGAATGGTTTATAAAGCTACATCATCAGATGTTTACAATCAAAACCATGGGATTTAAATGATGACAAAAATGTATATTTATAACATCCCCTATATACAATAATCAGTATAGACAGAGAAAATGCACTTGACCTTTCCAAACCATGCACACCACAGCAATAATACAAAATTCTTTTTTTCTGTAACAGGCTTTTCCACTGGCTCAGGCTTCATCCTGCTTTCCAACAGTACCTTTCTGTTTTAAGAGCAAGTATTTTCAGTTAAAACTAAACAAAACTGAAATACCATAGTGATCTGCACAATATTTTAAAAACACAATATACACAAAATAGTCTGACTAAAACACTTTGACTTCAAGGTGTGTTTTTAATTTTTTTTCCTTTTTTAGTTATTTAGGTTTCAGAATCTTTAGGACTATAATACTGTCAGACAAAACAAAAGCTAGAAATATTGACACAAGTTCAGAGTCAAGAAAACCCACTTTCAATCCAAATACTCAGCTTCTGGTTTAGCTTGTGGCGATATGAGAGATGGAATTCTTGATAGGTCATGTGCACGAGCAGGTTATACTAGCTGTGACTCTATGGTCCCTCCTGAAAACATAAATGCCACTTACAGCCATCTTGTTTGATTGATAGCCAGGGATTTAGTGTAAGTCCTTAGTAATTGTAACAAAATCTGCAAATTGGAAGCTGCTCAGAATTATGATGCATGACACTATAGTGGGTCATGTACTTCTTTTTACCTTGCTCAATTTGTAATTGATACCATAAATGTATTTTTGTATAGACTTACACTACCCAATCACTCTCTTCAACTCATATGTTCCTGATACTTAAGCTAACTGCAGATCACTCTTTACTTTTGTTCCTTCTTAAATAAAAACCTAACCCAAAGTATCGAGGTAAAAGTTTTGGAGTTATTGAATAACTCTGGCTATCCTAATTCTTATCCTATCACTTCTTCTTCTTCTTTCCTCTTACGAGTGTCTATAAATCTGTCAACCTAAGAAAGGACTAATGGGATAGAGATAGCCAGCCCAACTGGAAACATTACAATAAAAATATACAAAAAAATAACAATTCACATTCAGGTTCAATTCTACCTGATCAAGAATAACTTCAGCAATATTTTTAGACATGTTATTCTGCTCAAGAGTTTCTCAGTAAGGACCTCAATACACAAACATTGATAAGACAATTCTATAGAAAGTCCTGACTTTAATCCAGGACTATATACCACAATAAAATCAGCAACACACCATTTAGATGATGAAGAAAAATTTTATACATGGGTTAATTTGGAATGAGCACAACTCGGAGAAACCTTCAAATGAATGAGAAGTAGTGCCAAAAGATTCCAGAACTGTTGAAATTACAGTGCCCTGAAAGCATCTGGAAATTAGATCTATATGTCGGTATTCCATTTGGAAAATAATAGTTTTCTGTTTTGTATGAGATACACCCTGTTTAAAACCTTTAAACAGTAGAAGGTAGAAAAAGTTTAAAATTTTAAACATCTCTTAAATTACAAGATATGAATCCTGTTCTACTTGAAAAACCAATAACTTTACATAAAACCACTCATGTTTGGAAAAGGAGGTTTTTTGTTTTGTTTTGTTTTGTTTTTTACTTTCTACGGTTTCGGGTATAATTTATCATGAGTCTTTATTCTATTTAAATAGATTCTTTCTTAAAATCAGAAGAAAATGAATGGTTTTGTTTCATTTGAATCCTTTTATGTTTATGCTGATGCTTACTCCTGGAAAAAAAGTGTTTTCTTCCAAGATTGGGTCTTAATAGTGTATCAGATTGGGTCTTAATACTGTATCATGAATAATTTAGTCCATTTCTTAGCCATCAAATGTTTTCATTTTTTTTCCCCTGTAACTAATTTAAGAATTTCTTAAAATATCTAAACAGCAATTTCTGGTAAGTCTGGTTTGGCTTTTGAATTTTATAAATAGTCCAACCAAAAAAAAAAAGACAATTTAATTACTTATTGAGATTTGTTTTACCCACACACAGTATAACATTTCATTGAAAGGCAGCTGTAAAGGCAACATCTAAACTTTTTTGAACTTCCCAAATCAAGGAAGCAGGATGTATTTGAACACTTTGATCTCTTAAGCTATGCCATCTTTCCAATGGCACCTTGGGAGAAATGTGCACAAGCTTGAGCAAACCATTTAGCGCCATTTCTCCACACTGCCTATGTAGTCATTGGTGCCATTGCTGGTGTTACTATCTGTCTGCTCTGGGCCTAGGTTCTTCTGGTTTTCTCGGTTCTCTCTCTGGTTCAAATTCTGACCTGAACTCTGAGTCAAATTCTGAGTCAGATTCTGGGTCAGATTCGGATTAGTATTTGGATTTGGGTTCTGACTCTGATTTTGATTTGGATTCTGGCTCTGGCCCTGACTTTGGCTCTGGAAATGGGTCTGAAGGAACCTTCCTTTCAGAAATTTGCGTTGCTCCTGACGCTTCCGCCTGGCCTCCTGATGATCTTTCTGCCTCATAAACTGATACCTTTGCAAAAAAAGGTCTTTTGCATAGCTGTACAATTCCATATCCAGAAAATTCAGTCCCTCAATACGCTTTTGGATATCCTCATTGATCTCTACACTAGAGGCCCTCGTGGTATTATATTGGGTAAACGGTGAAATAAAGTTCATGTTGAAAGTTTTCTCAAAGAGATACTGAGTCTTCCGTTGAAACTCAGTGAGGCCAAAGAATGCCATATGCTTCAGATTTGACTTGGCACTCTCCAGAAGGACCTTGTTTCTTTGCTTTTCGGGCATGACAGAGAGGTTGTAGCAGCCTACTAGAGTCAGATCAGAAAGCATGCGCACCTGGCGGTTGTTGGCAAGATTATAGGGACAGTCCATGAATTCTTTGAGAGGGCAGCCAGACCAGTCATCACCAGTATAACAGCTGGGCAGTTCTTCGGAGGTTGGAGGTCTTCCATCACAAACATGTAGGGATGCTTTCCACGTTGCCCCTCTCTGGACATGCCTCCACTCACTCAAGTACCGGGACACTGGGTCTCGGAGGATGGTGATGTAGTGGAAGTTCCTAGGGACAAAGCACAAAGACCAACTCAGAGATGTGAGTGCATTAATTGGAGTCAGGGAGGAGCCTGGCACATGTAATATTCACTGGCCAGTAAGGAAGGCAAAGGGGGAACTGTAGGGATAAGGTGGCATTTGTTCTGTGAACTGTGCTCTACAGACTCCTCTCTGAGTTCCACTAGCCTGGCCAAAGAGCTAATTCATTCACCCAATTTGCTGATAGTGCAGCTAAATCAGATATGAAAAGGTTAGACTCAAGATATTAGGCTCCTTGTTCTTCAATGCTTCTTCCTCCCATCCTTTTTTCTCCCTCTCCAACCGATGACAAAATCCTCCCAATGGCGCCATTAACTAAAAGTCAACCATTTGATTTCATAGTCCCCATGCTTAAATCCCCATTAACAGATTATGAAATGGAGATGGACCCAAATGATTAGCTGAAGTGAAATGGAGTTGATAAGTGCGTTTAAATTCTAATTTTTGTTATAAAGTATGCAAAAGCATTTTTCTAATATATAGTCTAATCTGGATATCTCATTTAAAAACAAAACCACATTGAAAGAGAGTTTAATATGCTACTCTTGATTGAGTTGTTGTCATAATATCATGGCTTATACATTATGGAAGTGGCATGCAGAGACAGGCAGAACATCCCAGGATCTCCAGTAGGCTCCTTGTTCTTCAATGCTTCTTCCTCCCATCCTTTTTTCTCCCTCTCCAACCGATGACAAAATCCTCCCAATGGCGCCATTAACTAAAAGTCAACCATTTGATTTCATAGTCCCCATGCTTAAATCCCCATTAACAGATTATGAAATGGAGATGGACCCAAATGATTAGCTGAAGTGAAATGGAGTTGATAAGTGCGTTTAAATTCTAATTTTTGTTATAAAGTATGCAAAAGCATTTTTCTAATATATAGTCTAATCTGGATATCTCATTTAAAAACAAAACCACATTGAAAGAGAGTTTAATATGCTACTCTTGATTGAGTTGTTGTCATAATATCATGGCTTATACATTATGGAAGTGGCATGCAGAGACAGGCAGAACATCCCAGGATCTCCAGAAATAAACATGGGGTCAGTCACTGATAGAAACAGATATGGTAGCTGCCAATGGCATATATGCAAGCTACTGTTTTGGTTTTAGCCTTTGTTCACATGATAATCTATCCAGGATAAGAATGTTTGCTCTACCAGTTCCAAAATGTCCCTTTTCTTTACCCACTAGAAAAAGGACACATGAATGTAAGCAAGTATGGAGGCTTTGTTGTATGGCTATCTTCATTAGAGCTGGACACAGATAAAGTTCTTTGCTCAAATAGCAGAAAAGGAAGCATTTCAACTACATGTGGTACACGTTACACTCATACACAGTGGGACAGGCACATGAACAGCACACCAGGAATGTCAATGTCTATGATATGATCAGACATACTTAAGGAGAAAACAGCCTTGTGAACGGGCTTTTCATTAGAAATTAGTTTCCAATCAGGTACTGTAGATAAAGGATGAGTTCATGGAAGGCTATATTGTGGAAGGAAAATAATAAACACTGGGCATTACCATTTAGTTCCTTAAAGAAAACCTGGAGAAAGGCTTGTAACTGTTCTGAAGTTCACTTATTCCCATCCAAGGGAATGGTGGTTCTCTATATGTGCAGGAAAAGCCAAAGGGAACCTGCACAACCACCTGGCTGACTGAATGTTGGCTGGTGTCTCTTGAGGAAATGTTCCTCCCAACTCAAAGCATTCTGGGATCCATTCTCTATGTCTCTGTCCTATACATGGTGTTTTCTCTGCCTGGTATGATCTTCCTGCTTTGGCTAGGAAATTCTTCTCATCGTCCTTCAAGTCCAAGTTCAAGTACCATCTACCTTTTGAGAAAATTTACTCCACCCCTTGCTGCTAGTCATCACTTTTTCTTTTATGTTGCCATAGAACTTCCATACTTAGCCTGTGTTAAAACACTTTTGATACTGAATAACAATTACTTTGCTCATGTTTCCACTTAAAATATAGTTTGGGACAGGGGCTCTGTTCTATTCTTCTATAACCCTTATCCCAACCATTCTTGTCTGTACCTTGGTCTTTATACCTGCCACAAAGCAGAATCTCAGTAACCCCTTTAACTTCATATTTAACAGACTATTCCTGAGCAAAGGAGAGAGTAAGGAACATGCCTCATATGAAAACTTAATAGTCCTCCAAATACCTTGCAAAAAATCACAGGAAGAATTTTATTTTTTACATCATCCCATTTTTTTTTCTAGAATAAACAGACATTGGGCACAGGAAAAACTTCTAAAAGTGAGGATGGAGAGGAAGCCAAGAGCACTTCAGTTATCTCACTACTTTTTCTAGGCCCTGACCATGCCGGTGCCACTAAAATTTATCTCCATAAAGACCTACTGCATAAGAGTAGCAGCCTTTGTATCCCAATAGTCTTTACCAGCAAAAATTACTACTATACCCTTGGTGTCCCTCCTTCCACTCCTAGTTTTAGCATTTATTCACTCATTCATCCACTACACATTTATAGAGTTATTATGCTTAAGCCTTAGGCGATAGTTTAGTGGATTAGTCTGATTATTTGGGAAAAAAATAAGAAATTTATTAAGTCCAATAACAGATTTAGATTAACCTTTCACCCAGCCTTTCCAGGCATGCATTATAACGGGGGCTGCTGGGTGTTTTAAATCCCCGTAATGGAGTCACCTTCATGCTTGGCTGCCATCCTCCTGCCCTCATTTGTTTTACTGGTTTAAACCTACAGTGACATCTTCTGGTAAGTCTCAGAGTGTACCACAGTGCAAGTCCAAGGCTCTCCTTCCTAAAACTCCACCTTTGTCTTTCAGAGTGGCTAGAGCCCTACCACCAGGGTCAGTGTTGTAATTAATGCTTTGTAAGTACTACCTCCACATAGAGAGGAAGAAGAGGCATCACAGAGACAAAGACACACATTCACAGAGTGTCTTGTGTTATAGAAGTATGGATCTCATGCACCTTCAACCCAAAGGTCATGGAATGCCCATATGAGGTAAGGACAGTCTGATGTGGACAGCCTCAGTCTTTGCACTGTAGGGATTATCACTGCAGCAGAGAAATCAGAGGGGAAGACACACATACACTGCCCTGGTGATATTATCTACCTAGCCATAGATAACAACAATGCTGGAAATTCAGCAGATTTCACCGGTCCCTGTCTTCCAAGGAAAATAGTCTCAGAGACTCGGACTGTCTCTATGGAATGTGCTTGGTGCTGCTTGAAAATATAATTCCATGGGTGAAAAAGAAGATCTGCTAAAGGACAGGTCTCCACTGTTCAATGGCCTCCTAAATTGCATGATATGTTGGAGGGGGAAAGGAAAGTAAGGATAACACCTTGGAAGTTTTGTTGGATAAAGGATCCAGGATGCTCATTATTCTGAAGGAAGAGCTTTTATGGAAATATCAGAGAAGCAGTTCTCCCACACAGAGCAACTGAGGGTATGAAAGACTGACTTGATAGGAATGTGGTTGAGAAGGCAACCAGACACGGAACAGGGACAGCATTCTTCCAATGGTCAGGCCAACTAAGGTCAGTTCAAGACTTGCTTACTCTCAGCACCCAGTGTGTGCCTGGAACTGAGATAAGCACTGGGAGAACAGACTGGTATAAGACATGGAAACCCTACAAAAGTATCTCAATATAACATGCTACTAATCAATGGAGCAAGAATGGTGCAATGAAAGCACCTTGTAATAATTTGTACCCTAGCCTAAAGATAGGGTAAGGGTATCTATAGCTTTATTTTGAAAAACAAGTAAAAATTGGACATGACAAGAATGAAAGGAAGTAGGAGACAGAAAAATCAGAGTAAGCAAAGGCGCAGAGGCATAAACCAGCCTGCTGTGTGCCAGAGAAGCACATTAAACAAACTTATGAGAAGCTAAGGGTAGTGGTAGGAACTGAAGGTAGAGAGGCAGCCAGAGACCTGACTGTGGAAGATCTTGGATGTCATATTGAAGAATACAGACCATTGCCTAGTGGTTAAGGGAGCCAGATCCAACACGGCTGACTGAAGTATAAGTCCCAGCCCGGGAGGCTTGAGAGACACACTGGACATGTGTGTGTGTGTTTGTGTGTGTGTGTGTGTGTGTCCCAAATTCCAAAAGGGATGGAGAAATTGAGGAAAAGGGATTGCAGCGTGACCATGCCCTGTTGTGGGGTGGGTGGGTGTGGAGGGAGGAGGAAGGAGCATTCTTCTCTCTGTCTCTTTTTTGGTAAGTGTGCACACCCTCTGTCAATGAAAGTAAAATAATTCAAACCCGAGCCTGCCCCATAGCACAGCAGTTAAGTGCTATGCAGTGGAGCTAGGTCCCACATGGCTGATCATACTTCAAGTCCAGACCCTGGTGGCTTGAAAAACATACCCAAGCACATGTGAGTGCGTGTCTAACATCCTGATGAGATGGAGAAATGGAGAAAAAAAAAAGAATTGTAATGCGACCATGCCCCATTAAGGATGTGATCTCTCTCCCTCTCTCTCTCTCTCTCTCTCTCTCTCTCTCTCTCTCTCTCTCTTTGATGGGTTCACATACCCTTTGGCAATTAAAAATAATAATTCAGACTTAATTCTTATAGGCAATAGGGAGGCATGTGAAGGTTTCTAAGTAGGGAACAATATGTGAGATCTGTGTTTTGGAAATGTCATTATGTATGATGTGTGGAGTTAGAATTTGGGATATTAGTTAAGAGGCTACTGCAATGGACAAGGCAAACAGGACAAGGGGCAAATCAAGGCTAAAGTCCTTGATGGACATCCAAGTAGAGATTGGTGCGGACAGACCCAGTCCTCAGTGGGCAGACTGGGTTGATAGTAAAGAATTAAAGTGCTCAGCCAAATGTGGTGATTCCAGACCATGAGGTTCTACCTAGTAGTCTCTTTTTAATTCCACCTGTGTGGTTTCAGATAGTTGAAGACAACACTCACATACCTGAGGCATCTTTTTTTTTTATC